ATGGGTTAACTTTGTTTATTTTGTTATAAGATTATAGCTTTTTTTTGTTTGTTATAATGTAAATAAAAGTGATAAATTTTTAAAAGCGGATTATAGTTATATATCTATGCCAGTTCATTTATAATATGTACAGAGTCCCGATGAGATATTTTCAAGGATAACTAAAAATTTCAAAAGTAATACTTTTCAACGAAGAAGAACATATAATTATCTGATTGTGAAAAATATATAGGGTAAATAAATATTTTAATGGAGAAGGAGAGGAATGTTCTAAAAAAGAAGTGTGATAGGTGGATTCTAGAACATTTTAGCATTTTGTATATGCTTTCTTGTGTTTTGCTTTAATCTTGAGTTTGGCTTTTCCATTTAGTCGTAAAGGCAACTGCTCGAGCTGCTCATTTCTTTAACTGTTTTTATTAAGCTCAGTTTTGTTTTTTTTTTGCCATTTTTCTATTTATTGATTGCCGAAAATGTTAGAAATACTTGTATTAATTTACAAACTGTCTTAGTGCCCTTCTTCTCCCCTGAGTACAAATACCAGTTTTCATTTACTTTTATATTTTTTTATGTTGAATGTTTCGTCATTTATTGCCCTAGATCTGGAATCTAATTTTCTCTCTGTGCTGCTGTTTGAAGCGACAGAGAAAGGTATCTTAATTTTTGAACATTTTATATTGTTTTGCAAATATTTAGAAGCAGTTGCACAGAAATTTCCTAAATGATATAAAAGTAATTTTATGATTAAAATACCAACAAGTCTTTAAAGCAATTTATTACTTCCTCATCATTCGCTTAAAAAATGGGCCATGCCTGCTCCGCAAAGGTGAGTGCTACTTTTCCTCTTTTCCAGTCCTCCGTACCTCTTTCAAAAGGCTTTCAATTAAGTTAGAAAATACGCTACTGTGTGCGGTATGTATGCATTTAGAAGTTTTTTCTTACCACACTAGCAAAAATAACAAGCCAATACCGTAAGATTTCTTTTTTATTATGTTTAATTTGCATCGTTGCTAATTATTACGTTCTAAGTTTAATGCCCTTTTAATACTTATTTAGTTAAGAACTAACTTATCCTATCATTTCTAGGCCCATCACTGGCCAAGAGGATACGATTGTAGAACAGTGGTAGTTTGATCTGGGATTAAGTCTCGGTGCAAGGGTTAGCTGCATGGGAGTTTTCATGGCTTTCCTCGCATGTAACATAAATGCGATGTCTCGTATGTAATTTGAATACAAGTGAATTGCTTTTAGAAGTCCTCTACAAAGGCATTCCTTCCCTTCAATAAATAGCCCTCCTGAGTTTCTTGGTAACCAATTAACCTAATTTATCATTTACAAAATAATTTATAAAGGTATTTTTAATTGGACATTTCTAAAGTCCATACAGTCAAGCACTACAAGAGTTGACTACCAAAAAATAATTTAGTAGCTAATGACTAATTTCCTTTTCTCACTTTCTAGAAGTTCTCGTTCGCATACTAACTAGATACTATATAGTGAATTTCTTAGCTATGCTGGTAAGTTTTTCGATTCCGCCAACTGAGAATGTAGCTTCAACTAAAAAGAACGTAGTTTTTCTGGCGCAATTTCAATTTCATTTCCTCGGTAATCATGAATTTTATTACTAATCACGAAACTTTACAAATATGCATTTTCATATTTCCCCCTTCACTGAGGAACAATCTTTTATTTATTTTAGCTGGTCGTCTCTGTTGTTTCTTAATATGTCGATATTGAATTTAAAAGAATCTTACTCAATTCTGATGTTTTAATAATGTTATGTACTGTGAATGTTATTCAAATAACCTTTGGGATTTTTATGTTTAACGAAATTTTCATAAACAAGAAAGAACTGTAGATCAAATTAGAATATTTATTTTTTTTTATTTCTTAATATACGTCATTTCAAAACTTTTACTTTTAAAACAAAGCACTTAAAATACTTTTAATTTGCTTTCTGAATGTAACGACATATTTTTTAACATAAACTCGGGTACATCAGTCACAGGTAATACCTTCTAAATCATATCTAGGGCAAATGATTTATATACAATTTTAAAATTTGCAATAAAATTTCCTTACTTCCAAATTTAACTTTACTATTTAAATTTATTTCTTCAAGGATAAATTTATTTATAAACCTTATTACTAAATAAAACCTAATAACTGAGTTTCTAGAAATTTAATTTAATCAATTAATTCTTTTAACAAAATTTTATTGTAAGTTTTACGGTTAAGGTTTACAAGAACCCTTAATTATTTGGAGTTCCAAACTAGAAAAAAGAATGTATACATGAAAGGTTAGCCTAAATTCCAAGTATGCAAAACCATAAATGTGTAATCGTTATACAATTTCTAAGCAATGTTAATCATAAACTGTCTTTTCAGACTGTATTGGCCATCCAAAATGCAGTGCAAAAAGAACAATCAAAGTCATATTTACTAAATAAACGATTTAAGGTACGCGGGCCGAAATGATCAAAATTGTAGCACTGTTCTCCATGTGGAAGCTGAAAAAAATCTCAGTTGCCTGCAGTAACTGCTGCGACATGTCTCAGCTTTGAAAGACAGAGGCTTTGATTATTTGCTTGAGATATGTCAATGTACGCTGTTTCTATACGTTGCCAAAGTTCATCAAGTGTAACCGCAGATAGTGCACGCTGAATCATTCGTCTATAAGTCATCGATCGGATGTTTTCCATGTCCAACATATCGAGAAAACTGGTGGACTCAGGCCTGAGCGCAACTTAGTGGGTGGGCAATGAAAAATTGATAAAAATGCGGTCCCGTATTACCCTGTGCTGCAAGCAAGACTTGAAGGTGAAGGAGGACAACATCTTCCAAAACTTAGACGGAATGGTGGTTGTAGAGTGTACTAGCGATGCGTATTAGACGGGCACAAAAGTAAAATCCAAAGGGACCCCAAACCCTAACTCTATGTGGTGGACGTTAAAACGATGCAAATTGAAAGGGCTATAACATCTCTGTGTTTTAAGCTCACATTTGCAGCTGCATACACCTGTGAGTCAATGGTAATCATAGCAATAAACAACTTGCAAAGAGTCCAGTCCTCTGCAGACAACACCTACTGGAACAAATTGTTGTAAAATATACCATAATTCTTGCGCTGTTTCTTAATGCTGCTGCCCAATCTGTCACTGCCATGTGCATAAGCGTGTGTGTGTGTGATTATGGCAAAGCCTCGAGGGCTATCTGCCTAAGGGGAGGAATGCCTTCGTGGAGGACTTTCTAAGGGAAACTGGCTCGTATACACGTTACACATGGGGGAAACCACGAAAACGCCCATGCAGCCAGCCCGTTCGCGGGATTCGAACCTGCCATGTGCATAAGCTGTCTATTCAGTCGTTGGGTGGTGTGACAAGGCTAGTGAAAATGTTCCATCAATCAACATATGTGACCTGAATTATCCAACACGAACACCGGTTTTTTGGAAAGGCAATCAGCAGGCTTTATGAACTAGTCTAGTTCTTCCTCTATCAAACTCAGAAACGTAGTCGAATGACTGTCGCTTGTTTAGAAGAGGCATACTTAATCTTCGCATTTAGAGAAACAGTGAAAAAAAAAAAAGCAGAGTTCCTGTACATAAAATAACCTACTCTTCTTATGGCCTCATTAGCGGCCGAAAGTTTGAGATAGCTGAATGGATAGGTTGACCCGGGTATGAACCCAGACAAGCGAGCTGGCTATATGGATCGTTTTCTTGGTATTTTCATGATTATTAATCATTTTCCCTCAGACGGAACGCTTTGAAAGCATACTTCTCCTTAAGCAGGTAGCCCTTGTGTGTCTCTCTGTATCCAAATAACCTAACGATTTTAATTTTTAAAATGCTTCTAGGTTACTTTAATGGCACACATGATTTGCATACGGTCTACAATGCTAACTCTTTGCATGGCCTATCGGTGTCTAAGCATAGTGTAAATTTCATGGTTATGAATGCTTTCTTTAATGGCGCTACAGTTTGACCAACAGTATGTTACTCAATGATCACAGAACCAATCTAATGGTTTTTTGGTTTAATTTATTTGATTTGGGTAAAGCATTCCAGGTTCTAAAAGGAGGGAAGTTTTCGTGGAAGACTTTCTAAGAGAAACTGACTCTTAATACACGTTACACATGAGGGAAACTACGAAAACGCCCATGTAACCAACTTGTTCGCCGTCATTCGAGTAGCGACTTACCACTCGGTCGCTTGTGGATAAACAATCTAGTGAATCTTTTGTTCCACACATCAAGTTATCAGTAAACAAACACTTCACATTTATTAGCTTTTTAATTGCCGCACTGTTTTAGCAATGTTTACGCAGGTTTATCAGTATTTAATCATTGATAGATGTATTTAAATGATCTTTATAAAAATTATGTTGATAGATTTCTGCTTTTATTACATTTTTTTATTTCTTATTTCAAAAGGTATTATTTTGATCGACATTATTCCTAAATGGTGAACTGTTTTGAACATATCCAGTTAAAAAAAATTTTTGACGCTTTACGTTACACAGCTTTAAAATTTCTTTAACCTCTAAATAAGATGAGAGTGCGATATTTTTAAATGAGTCTATCTTAGATAAGTTCATAAACCTTTTATTTACTGAATAAAAAGGGATATCTAAAGTTTAAAAATTAGCTATTATATAAATTCTTTTAGAGAAACTGTATATTAATTAGATATGCATATATTTTCCAATTTTATGAACTCGACATTTGCAAGCTGGCCCATGTAATTTACATTTATAATCCGTATTCGTTTCGTTCTAATGTAGCATCAGAATACACTACAGATTTCATTCTTGTAAAATTTTGCTAGCAGCATAATGTTAAAGCAGAATATGTATATATGTATAGGTTCTTTTGTTTTTTTAATTAAGTCGAAATGTTACAATAAGCATTATTTTATATCTATATATTTAACAAGCAAAGGTACTAATAGCAAGAAGACGGATTGGGCCCTTATATAGGTATTTTTCTGTATATTGTTTTAGGTGAATGTGACAACTTCCTGAATGGTTCGCCGAAGCTAAAAAATACACTGGACCTGCTACTGGCTGCCGCAATCCTAACCCTCAGCATCCTATTAGTCCGGTGACCGGCCCCAAGTCTGTTCTGGTCATGTGACACCACGTCGTCCAATCAGTGCATCAGATGCCCCATCATTTGTGGGGTCCGAGGGTGGGTCGAAATCGGGGTGTCTAGTGCCTCTCCTGAAGGGTAATTTCGCAGACCTTTGTGTGTATTCTCTCCCAAACGGACTGAACTATCAACGTGGACCTGGCGGCGAACACCTGTTAAAACGACTTGTACACACGAGCACCAATGTGGGCTGCGTGCAACTTTCACAACTCGTTAAGCATCAGCAAGCACTTTAAAAAAAGAACTTTATATCTCTTGTTTGTCGAACTTCAATGAAGTTTAAAGAATTGTTTTTCGATGGTTCGAATGACACATTTCATAAAACCGAATCATGAACTAGGAAAACAAAAGCACAGGTTAAATTTAGTTTTAAGAAAGGTTTCCCAAAGCTTTTGTACCACAGCAATTCTGAAACGAAAAAATAAATAACTTTAAATATAAACATCAAATTTAAATGTGTCTATTACAAGGAAATGAATAATTCAAAAACCTCTAATTTACATTATTTAGAATATTTGATTAACAGTATTCAGACTTAAATTGCATGAAACGTACCCAAATGCTTTGTCTTGTTCAACATATGCATTCAGATCAAAAATAGAGTTACATGTATTAATTTTAAAGACAGATCATTTTCGTTGGTTTCTTTTCATGTTACATGAGCACGTCATCAAATAAGCATTAAGATAATGTTATTTGCAGACATAATTATACACATATTTTTACACTTAATTATACAGATTTTTCTTTTGTGTAGTTAATGTGTCCCGATTATTACACATATTTTTACACTTAATTATACACATTTTTCTTTTGTGTAATTAATGTGTCCCGATTATCACATACTTTTTTATATGAATATGATTTAGGTATTTCTATGTGTTATAACTGGAAAACTGCACACAGTGTTAAAATTTGTATTTATACTTTTAATTCGAGGCAATTATTGTCCAAGGAACAGCCTTAAGTAAGTAAACATTTTAATATCCAGAAGAATTTTGTACCTGGAGGAGAATGAATGATTCTAACAGCAAATTTCAGGTAAGATGAAATAAAACCTCCAGCCTTGTTCCAGTTAATTTTACTAACAGTGCAGTTTTTATCTTAAGTTCGTTGATATTTTCTTTTGCTTTTTCGTCGAGTTCTGTACTTTAATTCCTATATACTAGTCGATCGGGCATTTTATGTTTTTACGTATGCTTTTTAAAATGAATAAAAATGCAGTAGTTACTGCAGCAAAAGAAATGTTCACGAATAGTTACATCAAGCAGAAACAATATTATATCCCAGGTTATATCAGCAAACTAAGAAGCTGTTTCGTGATGCTCTAATAACTAAGTAACGAACAAAGGGGTTTAAAATACTAAAAATTAAAAGTGAATGAATGAATTGCACATGTAGAAAGAGTTTGACGAGATATGTTTCAAACGGTATCTTACGACTCTATAAGCAGTAAAGAAAAGAAAATAGTGAGTAAACAAAGAACATTATTGCTTAAGTGCCTTGATAGAGTGAAATACCATATGCAAAACTAAACTAATTACTAACGTTCAATCACATTTATTCATAAATATCCAGAATTCTGCAGCCTATTCTGATTATTAATATAATAAAAGTTTTAATTATGTATATTTTTGTTCGTTAAAACTAAAAGGTGTTCAAAAAGATTAGTCGCGCAGCTTAAACATTTGAATGGCTGTACTTTGTGATTTTTGCTCATGTATCTCAAAAATGCACTCAGAAATGATTGACAGCAGAATTAAACATTACTAACTTCAGGTAATTGACAGAGTTTTAATATACCAAAATAAAATTTTGTCTTTAAGACAGGAGTGGAATACAGATTGCATCCAATGAAAAGAATGCTAGAAGATTACCAGAATTCGGTAAGTGAAAGATTTCCATACACTGATTTTGTTTCCATTTTGAGGAGTAAAGAAAACTGTTTACTGTTTTAAAACATAAAACACAGCTGTAGTTTGAGTGAGTTTGTCTGTTAGCCTTTTCACGTAATCGTGACATAAACCATTCACATATTAAAGTTTTTTCGACAATCAAAGAAAATCATAAATCACAACAAAAAATAATTACGATATAAAATGGATTCGGATATAAAACCATACATAAAATACAGTTATTAGAAATTCCAGTCTCACAAACAGTATAGAAGAAAGAATTAAATACGTTGAGCAAAACGAAATACTTAAAATTAAAAAAAAAAAAAAAAAAAAGCGAGCTTTCCATTGTACTTGTTGAAGAGACACAAACAATACACTTCTAAACAGAAAAATCTTAATAATAGAAAACTAAAACTATTAATTTAAATTAGGCTTTCTTCACCAAATACATTACTTCGTATAATAAAACGCCGTTTTGGATATTTTCAGATAATCTTAAAAAAATACAAACATGAAAATGTAGGATTTTGAGCAGCAAATCTTCAAAATTCTTATTCTGGGACCAACTTCCGCACGTGAAAATTCTTGGAATTAAAATATATGAAAACTTTCCCTGATTAAAAAAAAAGATATCATTTTAATGTATACTATTGCGGTGATTGATTTTATGTTTATCTATTAAGTTAGCATATTCTCAGAATCACAGTGGGGAAAATAATCTGATTGTTTTGCTAAATATTCTAGAATGAAACGCATTAATATATATAGTACGATAGCTAGTTATTTTTGCTTTAATATCTACTAATGTATACATTTTGCCCTTAAGATATAATTACGTAAAATAAATAAACAATAATTTCTTCATTTTCAAACATCAGTATGAGTTAGTAAAGGAGGTAGTTTTCATTAAATTTTTTTTCTGTATTTCACGCAATCAAAATGAAACAAGTATACAGTGCAGTAAAAGAAAGTAAAAAGTTCCCTTTCGTAAATAGTCTCTACTCAGAGCTAAGATGGTACGGTCACTTCGGTATATGCTATACTAATTATTTGAAGTAGTATTATTAATATGTCCCGATTATCACATACTTTAAATTTTTTTATATGAATATGATTTAGGTATTTCTATGTGATAATTTAATGAGATTAGTCTATTTCAGTTTTCAATAGGAACGAACGATTTCCCTGGTCACTATTATTCCCTAAACTAAAAGTTCAAATACAAAATTACTTCGCCAAATTAGGCTTTGAAGCAGAATCCACCTATACACATACCTAAACTCTGAGTAATATTCGTAAACATGTGTTACGCAAAACACACTCGGAGTAACTTTTGAATTAACCTGTAGGGCTCTTTTCTCTTTAATTCAAAATAATAATGATAATAAGCAAATAAATATTAACAATAATAATAAAATGATTTCGCAATAGCCGTATTTTTATAGTTGGGCTGCAGGCAATCACACCTTGCAATAAATTTCTAAAAAATGAATCAATTATCAAAGAATTCAGATTTTTTCTGCCCCATTCAAATAACATACTATAATACAAGTTTCAGGCTGAACATAAATACAAATTGCAGGTAAATACGTTTTTTGTAGTTGCATATAATTACATTAAAATACATTACATTCAGTAAGATAACATTATTACATTTCAGTAAGGTGAAACATTGCAGTACACTTTTAAGTGTATTATATTTATAGCTGCATGTATTATAGCTACCTCAGTAGCATGAAATTTGGCTATGAGTGAATGAGTAAATTGTATTTTAAATTCTGTGTGCAGTTTTCTTTGTCAGTCTTGAAAACTGATTCCAGTTTTCTCCTTTATCTTTGATTGGAGGTATTTTACCTAAATAAAAGTAACGTATTTATGTTTGTTAAAATATACTTTCTTATTTGTTATTTTAGTTCGAAAATATTAAAGTTTTATTCTTTATTTAAAATAAGAACTTTAGTCATATTATTCATCTAATACATTTTTATCTTTAAGTTTAAAATATTTCCGCTATTTACAGGAAACATCTTTCAGAGGAGGTAATAACGAATTTGAAATTTTAAAGGCTATAAACACTTCAGATCTTAATTTTCAGCATTACAATAAAATTTGAAGCTTAATTTTCCTATTTAATAGGTTAGTCTAATAAATTTAATTTGTGGCATTTAAAAAGCATTCAAAACAATATTTCTCTGCAGGGAAACAATATTCCTATTAACTGACTAAAAGTAGATGTAGAAAATATTAAAATTGAATCAAAATCTGGCTTGGAATTTGTTTCTAAATAAAATAAGTAGGTGATAATCTCAGTTTAAGATGCTCTTGATAACTGCATATGATTTTTACAGTGTTCTAAATAATTCGAATCATCACAATCAAGTATTCTGTTAAAATAATTTCATTTAACAATATGACACTTTACGTATACATATATTCGCGTAACATACTTTGATTTATATGTATCTAAAACTGTGATTCGAAAAGAATTAATTAATTTAATTAACCTGTGTTTTATTTTTGTTTACCTAGTTCTTATTATAAGGTGAGACAACTGTACTGAAGAAATATTATTTGACTATCTGCCATTTCTTTCGTGATGGACTTGTACTGAAAGTAGAATCTCTTTCACGGAGAAAATTTTAGGCAATGGTTTACTTCCATCTAATCAATGTTCAACATACCAGTAGCCCGGTAAAAAAGTCTTCAGTGTCCACTGCTTGTTGCTTGTTTTTCATTTCATGCAATGCATAACACAGGCTGAAAGCATCAGTTTCCATAATTGCACAATCCAGTTTCTACAAAATATACAAATTCATTTTTTTAATTTTCTACTCCCAGTTTATAGGTTGTATTCGTAAATAAACATTTTATTACTGGATAAAAAATACATTTCATTACACTACTAACGGAAAATCATTTAAAATATAAAGCAAGAAATGTTAATACTAATAATTTGCATTTATTAAAATATGCAACTGGTGAATAATCCAGACAATATTTTTATAAAATCATGTTTTTAATGTATATATATTCAAAGCTTCTACATATGTGAGAATTATAGTGAATTTAGCAAATAAAAGAAGTTTGCAGCTAATATCTGCTACGTCTGGTATAAAGAACACTTGATTTGTTAAGTCAAGAGATAATGTTTTTCAAATTTTGATTACTTTAAAAAGGGGACTTATAGCTGATAAATGAATAAATGAATTTTTCTAGCTTAAAACCTCTTAGCGTTATGGATTGAATGTTATCCTAAATTTAGTAGAGGCAAACAGTAATAATTTAGTTATGAGCTTCTTGCATCAATGAAATATATATTTTTTCTCTTTTTAACCTCGAATTCATACTCATTTGTTTATCTCACACACTTGTGTGTAAAATGTTTTAAACATTTTGTGTACGTTTTAACACTTCTGTTGCAATATTAATAACCAATTCAGAAAATGAATAAATGTTACGCTTTAATTATCTATTAAAATTAATGATTACAAAATTTTCATGTACATTAAAAACAATCCCTAGCTATTTTTCAAGCGGTGTATGGTATACAATTTGTAGTTTATTTAATTAATGAAAATTTAGTCTAATTGTATTATAGCATTATCTAAAAGATTAGATCTGTGAATGTTTACGAAAATGGCTGTTGAAACGGTATGCTTGTGAAAAGGCAATCAGTTCTTCGGTATGATTTTTAAATGAGTAGGATTGATAGGATTTAGTCCTAATTTGTAAATGAAGTCCAATAAATAAGAATATTTCAAATCGTAATTAATCTAGAGACATAAAGTGAAGCATTTTAATTACATTTTCGAATCTTTGATCTAAATAATACAAAACAAAACATTTTTAGTGAAACATGCCATTATTAAATCAAGTAATAAATACCTGTGTATTAAAATTAGACAGGAATGCATTTGAAAGATGCGTTAAAGCTGAAAAATAAAATGAAAATTTTTCTTCGCAGTGCATTTGTATTCTTTATAATATTCTATGGAGAGCAAATGAGCTTTCTGAACCTAATGATCCGTCTTAATCGGGCTCTGTTGTTGAACATTGAAAAGCTGTTAAAATGCCTCAAATGATGATGATAATCAAAGGTGCCCTCTGGTAATACATTTTATTGCCATATAATGCACTCATTGTATTAGGTGGATTATTGAGATCATTTTCTGTAAAATAAGATTGCGAAATCTTTCTTGTATATGTCAATGTTTCTTTCTAGCTTTCGAATAGCATAAACGGACGTTTTCGTTCACCCACTGTTTTCTGTTTCTTTGTTTCTCTCTGCAATGGAAATAAAGATAATAAAAATTGTTTTTACCGTCTCTTTATTTCAAGGGTCTTTTGTTTAACTTCATTAAATATGAAATTATCATTAAACTCAATACAAGTACTGAAAAAGGTCACACATCACAGGATCTCTTTTATTTAATTAGATGTACCGAATTACAGAAGTGAATTAAATTTATAAGGGATGTGATTTCGTTTTGCAGCTTAACTCTTATGGAAACTTTAATGAACTAGATAACTATCTCTTGCTATCCATGTAAGCAAAAACAAATGAACGATATAAACAAATTTAATGTTTATTGCGATTTTGGATTTTATTCTAAGCAATAAATCACAAAAATAACAATACAACTAGAATTTGTTTATATGCATAGATTCCATCCTTTATATTTTTGTCTAAAATAACCATCTAAGCTTCTGATACTTTACAAACCAACAACTTAACTCCATTCATCACTATAAAAGAATTAATAAATCCACTCTCACACCCTTAACAGAAAAAACAGTTTTCGAAAATTCGTTAGTCTGTTTAACATTTATCGAAATATCACACAATAAGCAGATATGCATCTTGCAAGTCGTCTTAACAAAATGCTGAGATAACAAAAGCTAAAGTAAAGCAGATTTAAATTTCCTGTTGTTTAAATGGAAACTTTATTTTGCCTATACAATGTATTTATATATTTTTCCTGTGAAACAAGTATAAAAAAACCACGAAAGATCTAATAACCAATTGAAAGGAGGTTGTTAGTATCATATCAAAACAAACATTTGCAAGATTATATACTTTTGCAATAAATAAATAAAATTATACACTGATTACGCAATATATATATATATATATATATATATATATAGATATATATAGATATATATATATATTTAGCTTTACATAAAAGTTAGCAAATCTCATAATCTAATATTAAGCAAAAAGTACTGATTTCATATTTGCAATAAATTTTCAATCTTATAAGAGAAAAATGTTGATGCTGCACCTGAAGTAAGTGTTAATATAGCACCAAATCCGATTGTATTACGGTTAGTGAACTTTGACAGTTTTCTAATCCCAGATTTAAATCATGGATCAGGTATGCAGAGATCACAGAGTCTTCGCGAATTGGTGATACTTAAAATTTATCTATTCGAAAGGGCACTTGAAGGATTGGTAAGATAAGAGGGGTATCAGATCTTCGAATTTCCTTAACTCGGATTGCTTTTGTTTAAAACCTGAATTTTTGTTGAATCAAAGAGCCATCTTGTATCTCTTTGCTTAAGTTAAATAATCCCATCCTAATTCTACTCGTATGTAGCTCTAAAATTCGACATCGCCTCTTTTTTACAAGTTGACACAAATCAGTACATCAAATAGTTTTTTTACCCGACAATGTCATACTTAGAACGTTATTTATGATCATAGGGAGGAATTCATTATGGAGGTTGAAGAAATAGGTCATGTTTTCTAACTATAACTCACTTAATATGGACTACAGTTATGGCTGCATACGTATTAAAGGGTACTGTGGTGAACACCAACCTTTAACGTTCAATTCAAAGCATATTACTAGACAAAAGGGAACTAATGGTGTGTGACGACTTTCTGTAATTATAACCGATCCCGGCTGCTCTGAACTGCAAGCATTCTCAGCAGCAGCTGCTCTCTCAAGGAAGATGTAGAAGAAGAGGTCTTACTCTCCTTTCAGAATACATCTGGCAATACAGACGACGATCATTTGAGATAAGACGACCAATAAGATGACGATCATTTGAATGTTGATCAGGAGTCCAAATCTTCTTCAAAGAAGAGCAACTATTGCTTCATCTCAGGATTAAACATTCACCAGATATTTCTCTGACTGAATATGTATGGGATGCTCGGCATCTCACTCTCCTGCAGCAGTCAGAATCAATTAACTGTTAAACCGAATCGGGGCATCATGAAGGGTAGTACGCATCCAAAGCGCCTTTGAATGTACTGAAGATCCTATTGCCGCTAATTGCGGCTTCACAAAATACTGATTTTGTGCCAATTATATAGTCTTATTGTTATGAAATTTTAATTATTTATTTTTGTTACCGTTAGTTGTATGTTGCTCCAGTTACCTTTTAATCTAATGATTGATTTGCAGTGCTGCAATTTTTGCACACATAAGATTACAATTTGATAATCCTTCTAAAGTGGTGCAAAAATGACCAAGAGAACAGGATCCTTAAATATTTTCCGTTCATTCACGGTTCGGCTCCTGGAAATTATGATGCTTGCACAAGGATTTCAGTTTCAATGATATGTAACATGGACCGATTTCCCTTACAAAATTCCTTACGCACCATGAAATTCGACAAAAACCAAATCTTAGAAAATTTTCCGTAAAGGCATCACTCTTATGGATTCACATGCTTCGCCATAATTATTTAACCAAAAAACGCAGTCAGTATCGCAATATCAGAATTTTGTTTCCATATCAACGTAGTATTTCTGATTAATAAATGATGAATAAAATTCCACGAAATATAAGAATTTCAAAAGTTTTTTTCAAAGAACATATTATCACAAGCTTTCGCAAAAGAACCGACTGTATGAAATATACGTAATCAAGTCCTCTTCGAATACTTTGACAAACTCTTTTCTTTTCATAATCCCAAATGACAGACATTAAGAATGAATTTAATATTTAACAAGAATTAAATCAAATATTAAGTTGTTACTAACGCTCTGGATTCTCTATAGAAATTTTTATTATTCCATAAGTTATACAAACTGTGTTAAATCTTAATCTTTATCAAATACATTCGCACACATATATATCTTAAAAAATAAAATAATAAATAATAAGGTCTACTAGACCAGTAGAAAAAATATATATATATTATTTTGTTCAACAAGTACTGCCACCTGTAAGATGCCATATTTTTCTAAACATGAATCATTTCTGAGACTAACTTATTCATCTAGCGGACAAAGACCAAATTACCAGGATTGTAGTAAATGAGAAATGATTTGGATATGAAACATCCGAAGGAAGCATTTATCTTCCTATATCAAGCAAAAATAACCGAAAGAGAAAGAAAAAACGTATCTTTATTTACTTCATAGAGATTTTCCCTAATGTATGTAAGCATCTACATGATACCAACAAAAGAAAATAATAAAGAACTTCCACAATTTGCAAGGAAGACTTCATACATCCATAGCCACATTGTAGCTGCACAGATTTCAAGTCGATATTTATGCACAAAATCCTCTATTGAGTTTTTCTGAATAACTAAATACACGCTGTTTGTAAATAAAGAAACTATTTTAGATAGAAAAATTTTTTTCACAGAATTTTGTAGTTTTACTTATTTCGGTTAAAAATGCAATTAATGGCTAACTTCAAGACAGCTTTTCTAGGTGCATTCCTTTGCGGTGAATAATTCAAATTAATATAAATTTGTCTACACAGAGGAATTAAAAAAATTCCAGTTTCAACATCACTGGAAATATCTGCTTAATAGGCAAATGCTACAATAGGCAAATGATGCACGGAGACAAAAATATGGTTTAAAATTTCAGCATTTCACATTTAATTGGCTTTCATTACGGTTTACTGAATACAGTACCAGACATTTTTAGCTTCGAGTTAACAAAGTCAACATGATACAAAAGGAGGACTGCGCTAAAAATATGTTGTTCGCAATGTAGTAAGAAAACTCGCTGTACTTCATAAATGTTCGTTTACAAATTTCGATCTACACTCAACAAAATGTGAAGTTTCAGCACCTAGTATTAGCTAGACTCTTCATTGGAAAGCAAACAGAAAAGCATTTACTACACACTCATGTGTAAGTTATGTCATAGGATCTGGTCTACATATGAAAAAAAAAGTAAGTGTTAATAGATTTCGATATTTTGCATAATGAAACTCAATGAAAATGTTTGCCAAAAATGCATAAAATCGGAGAGCTCAGACAAATCGGTGTACTCTTCTAAAATTTTCGACAGCATGCATCGTGCTTAAAAGATTAAACTGATAATAATATGTCTAACAGGACTGCATTTCACTTTTATATGTTAGTGTTTTAAAATTTACATTGAGTAGTTTTATTGTTTCTCAAATTAATGAGCTTTGTTTTTCATACTTAAGCTGAACAGGTTTCATATCGGTAAACAAATAGTTGATGTTTATTACAATTTCTGCTGTTTCTTACTTGCGCTAAAGATTACAGTTCTTAACATCTTAGTAACACCTTAATGGTTAAAAACAAGATGAAATTGAGTAAAAAGGGTACTTATTACTCTGCATGTGTCATGAAAATCACTCTCATTAGAAATTTTATAAGGTATTTCTCCCGCCTTCTTAGCATGCCTTCATGGTGTTGTGGTCTGCACGCTGAGCGCGTATTCCAGAGGTCCGTGGTTCGATTCTCAGCTAAGGCGTTGCTAATTTTTCAAGTCTCTTGCTTCCAAATAACCTAATAGCTCTACAAAGTTTAGTAGAATACATATTTAAAACTTATACGACTGTGCATGGGCATGTTTTAGTTCGTCGTACTGCTAAATAGGCTCCCTAGCATTTTTTTATAAGGCTTTTTTTGTTAATGTTGCAGTTCCTGGATCAACCAAGGTTATATGCGTCAAGCCAATGGTTGAAGCGAAGATTGAAAAGTATGTTAAAAATACTGCGTGCAAGCAGTTACAATATAGTTTAGGCTAGATAAAATATGCAGTTTATGGTAAAAGCCATTATCTTTTACTAATTGAAACAATCTATGATGAAGTTGATTTCTTATTAAGCTTTCTAAATCTATTTTGAAACAGTTAAAATGATATTGGCGAAAATATTTGAAAGTATGGCATTCCAGTAAAATATGACGGATTCTCACAATGGCATTGCAATTTACGCAAATTGGATCCCTTTCGCCTTTTAGAAGACAACTCATGAGTAAGGCAACAGTGATTAAATCTCAAACGAGTTAAGAGTACTTTTTTCCTTCTATTTACCATAGACGGCCAGCATTCAATTTTGTATTTAACACTTCTTAGCTTATT